GCCTCCCGCCCCCTCCCTTCCTGGCCCACAGAAGCCTTCTCCCGCTCCTCTTCCACGACTCCGCTCTGGAGCCCTGAGATGCGCTCTCCCAGGCCGCACGCTGTTAGGCTCAGGTCTACTTTGCCCCTGAGCCCCTGACACACAGCCAGGGTTGGAGGCAGGGGACAGGGAGAGGGTTCACTGTGGGGCAGACAGAGGAGGTGGGGCCTCTGGGCAGGTCTGGGGAAGGCCCCAGAGGCAGTGCCCCCGGGACCTGCTACCATCCATTTGTGCTGACGGTGACCATGGGACAGGGCCTTGGTCAAGAGGGCACACTGGGGACGTGGCCTGCTCCTCCCAGATCCAGGCTTCTCAAAGGGACAGATCACGCAGACCTAGGAGACTCGCCCCCACGCCCTCACCCTAGCGTCCTCCCCAGCCCACTCAGTTTCAGTAGGTGGCCCTGAGCAGATGCCCGGCCGGGGACGTGGTAACCGTGCATTTCTCTCGTGGCCACATGCTGGGTCCTGGCCCTGGAGGTGGGCGGGGGGACGGCCCGACGTCTCTGTACTCACGTTGCTCCCAGTTCCCGGTCACTGGGCTGAGGAAGTTGGGGTAGAGGCCATAGGGCTTCTTCATCTCCCTGAGGACCCTGCGGATCTTCCTGACCTGCCGAGGGATGGACACCGCACCGCTTCACTCTCCTGAAGCTGACTGACCCCCAGCCCAGCGTGGAAGGGAGGCAGCTTCAGACTCAGGGGAGACCATTCCAGAGAGGCAGGAAGGAGAGGTGGCCAGAGGTGGCCACAGCTTGGACCTGTGCCCAGGGGCAGACCACGGCAGGACACGGCCATGGGGGGCCTGATCCACCACCTGTCCCCGGACTGCACAGGCCACCGCCTGCCCCTCCCCGACTTCCCCGATTGCATGCTGAAGTGAGGAAGTAGCATCCAACAGTAGTCACAGGGACCAGAGGAGGTGGGGGGTGGAGACGCTGGTCAGAGGATACACATTGTACAGGAGGAATGAGTTCAAGTGCTCTGCTGTTCAATGTGGGGACTCCAGTAACAATGTGTAACAATGTGTCCTGTTTGTGTAAATTGCTAAGAGAGTAAATTTTAAACTGCCCCCCAAGTAATAATAAGCAGGTGAAGTTTAAAAAGTAAAGGGCCAGGGTTGGGGCTGGGGCTCAGTGGTGGCGTGCCTGCCTCGTACTCATGAGGCCCTGGGTTCAAGCCTCAGCACTGCATAAAAATAAACAAATAAAAAATAAAGATATTGTGTCCATCTACAACTAAAAAATATTAAAAAAAAAAGAAAGAAAAGGGCCAGATATGGTGGCTCACACCTGTGATCCCAGCAATTTGGGAGGCAGAGGCAGGAGGAATCCAAGTTTGTAGCCAGCCTTGGCAACTCAGCAAGACTGTCTCAAAATTGAAACCATTCAAAAGGACTGGGGGTTGCTAGGGTGGTGGCTCAGTGGTAGAGCCCCTGCCCAGCATGTGTGAGGCACTGGGTTCGATTCTCAGCACTGCATATAAATAAATGAATAAAATAAAAGGCCATCAACAACTTAAAAAAAAAAAAAAATATATATATATATGATTGGAGCTAAGGGGTGCTCAGGGTTTAATCCCTTGCCCCCATACATACACAAAAAGGGACACAGCTGGGCACAGTGGCACAGACCTGTAATGCCAGAGACTCGGGAGGGTCAAGTTCGAGGCCAGCCTGAGCAACTTAGAGAAACCCTGTCTCAGAATAAAAACTAAAAAGGGCTGGGGGTGTGGCTCAGTGGTTGAGAATCGCTGGGTTTAATAAGTATTGCAAAAAAAAAAATGCTTAGCTAACAAATGAGTATATCTAATACTTAGGACTCATTTTGGGGAAAGGCCTGGACTCCTGAGTCCCCTGCACCCTAACTGGCAGTTGAGGGTTTTAACAGTGTCAAGAATAATAACAGCATCTGTTTCTCCACTCCGTTAAGACAGACAGACCCACTATGGACACCATCTCCCGCTCAGAGCCACCACCTACAAGATATCATGATCTCCGTGTAATGACAAGAAACCTGAGTCTCAGAGAGGTTCGGTGACTTGCCAAAGGCCAGTGGGTCTCAGGTTGCTGAGCCAGGACACTAGTCGGTCTGTCTGACCCCACTGACTGTACATCCTTGTGCTCCAGGGAGCAGCGGCTGAGTCCAAGATGGAAGGAGATGGTGACTACACAGCCACACCCAGCCGAGGCTGCCCCCGCTGCAGCGGGCAGGGGCTGGATCCCAGCCTTTGGGGCTGCGCAGGACAAGGGTGACAGGCGGAATTTAGGACTTTCTTCCTGGGTGGCTGCTCTCTGGCAGGGCTTTAAGTCCCACCCAGCACAAGATCCTCTGGGAAAGACCCTCAGGGACGACACTGGGGCCTGCTAATAGATTAATCCAGACGGTGTGGAGCCACGGGAGAAGCCTTTTAGCTGCAGACGGTTCTTCACCGTGGGGGGGGGGGTGGACAGCACTTGGCTTTGCCGCATCAGATTTCATGTCCATTTATGTTAATGGAGCCCATAATGGGGGACAGGAAGGTGCGATACCCGAGTTATTCTCGACTGTCCTGGGGGTGAGCAGAGAAACAGGCTAAATTAGCTCCCCTGGAGGGTATGGGCGCTTCTAGAATTTGGGCCAATTTGTTGACTGCCAAATAATTGCCTCTGTGGGAGGGTGTGACTGGGGATGAAAATAGCCAGAGTATGCAAATGTAGGGAGAAGAGACAGACAGATGGACCCCGGGAAAAGCCCACAGCCTGCTGCACTCAGCAGGTGCAGAAAGAGCCCGGGCTGGTATCTCAGCTTTATTGCTCACCAGCTGGTGGCCCTGGGAGCATTACGGAGCCTCTCTGAGCCTCAGGTTCCTCCTCTGTAAAATGGGGGTAGTGGAGAGATCTCCCTCCCAGGGCTCCTGAGGGGATCAGAGGGGGCACAGCTGCTCTGCACACAGCAGGTGCTCAGGCACTGGCAGCAATCATCCCAGAGGATCCCCACCAGCGTGAGCTCCTGTCTCGGCTCCTCCTGAGCTGTCAGAGCTTCCTGGAGGAGCCTGGCTCAAGGGCCCTGGGAGCCGGGAGGCTGGTGCAAGGCCCCGAGGTGGGAAAAGGATCGGGAAGCCAGAGCCTCGGGATGGGATTGGGCGCATCCCAGGAGCGCTCAAGGGCCCTCCTGGCAGACAGGCTCAACAGGAGGAGCGCGTCTCTGACGGCAGCAGGTGGGTTAAGGGTGGTGGTGAGCGCCGGTCACGGGCAGCCATCAAGGGGCTGAGAAGCTCCCCTCCCCCGTCTCCAGGACACGCTGAGTCAGCAGTGGTCCCCAACCTGGCACCCAGGAGCGCATGGGCGTGGGTTACCATGCAGACTCCAGCACCAGGTGATGGTCTGAGGCCAGCTGGTGACTCCACCCTGAAAGCCACCAGGGAGAAGTGCCACTCTGTCACCTCCCATCCCCTCGCCAGTCTACTAGGATGACATTCTAGAGGTTTGGGGAGTGGGGGGCCCCAAAAGGCCATCCTTGAGGACTTTGGAGGACTCTGGCAGGCAGGGCTTCCATCTCCCGGGGGGACTCAGAAGGGGTCAGAGCTGTCACAGCCTGAGTGCCACCTGAGTGTGTGTGCGTGCCCACTTTTCTTCTTTGGGTATAGGGTCAGACCTACAGGGGCACTTCCAGTGGGGACTGCAGCACTGAGGAAGGACCCCTCCTGAGGGCTCTCCAGAAGGGCCAGGTGCGGGTCACTGTCAGGACTGGTCGCTGGCCTGGATGCTACCTCTCAATACCCTGTGGCCTTGGATAGCTGAGAGCTGTGAGGAGGGACAACGTGGGCGTCGGCCAGGGACAGGAATCTCTTGCCAGCTGCTGTCAGTGAGAGCCAGCTGGGTGTCTGGGAGGGAGTGCAGAGGATCGCACTCGGAAAAGCTAAACGTCCCTGGAAAGGGGGCGGTGCGCCAGTGGCCAGCTCCTGCCGAGGCGAGGCCGAGCCCGGGTTCCTGCTGTACTTTCTGCAGATTTCACAGTTCAGAGATTGGTGCCCAAGCCGGCATGTGTCGGGGCACAGCTCCTTCCTGGCACTGGCCTCTGCTCTCTGAGGGGAGAAGAGGCGGGGGTGCTGTCTTGGGGGGAGAGGGGCAACTTGCCTTTTCTGCGAAGATCTGGTTGCCAGAGAGCTCGGTGAGGTGCAGGAACTCGAGGTGCAGAGACCCACACTCGGCCAGGATGCTGCTGCCGCCCGTGGAGGCCCAGCCCCAGTTCCCCCTGAAAACACAGAACCAGCCACGGTCACCCCTGCGGGCCAGGCGGCACCCTGGGGTGGGGTCACCTGCAGTGTGGCCGGCACTGCGCTACGTAATCCCACTGAATCTCTCTGGCCCCGTTTTGTCGACGAGGACAATGTAGTGGGCGAGGTTAGGTGACTTGCCGAAGGTCATTTGAACCCAGGCCCGACTGACTCTAAATATCGGGTTCTATCATCAAGCAGCCCCTGTGAGACTTGGGGGCCCGAGATCTGGCACTCAGGTAGGGTAAATTTGCAGGTGACATTGACAAAGTCATCAGGACACACTAAGATCCCACGGAGCATTCTCCCTTCGCTGGGGGAAAACGGAGGTGCCGGGCTTGGGTCTGGAGGAGGCAGATGCAGGGCAGGGACCCCACCTGGGTCCCCCCTCTCCCCACTCTGTCGGTCCCGCTCCAGGACACACACTGGCTCTGGTGTGGAATTTCCTGGGACCTCCACGTGATGGTCAGCTCCTGGTATGGCCATGACCCTGGAGCTGTGGGGCTGGGGGAAGCCTGGGGTGGGAGTGGACGTTCCTCCGCCTGACCATGTGCTCCTCCTGACCATGTGCTCCTCCTGAACCCCGCAGGGAAGCCGCGCTGTGGCCCTCCAGCTCGCCAAGCGGCCCCGACAGCCGGGCAGGCTCCCGAGCCGCGGCGGAGCAAGGGCTCAGTCAGTCCTCACCGCTGCCCTTCCGTGGTTGAGGAACCAGGTAGAGGGCACTATGTCACCTGCCTGAGCTCACCCCTCGAGCGCAGCAGCTGGGACCTGAAGCTCGGGTTAACCATTAACCTCCTCCCTGGGGTCAGGAGCCGGGTGCAGGTCCCAGCGTGTGCTGGAAACCCGGTCAGCATGGGGCACCTCGGTCCCCACACTCCTCCACCGGGGACGGAGGATACCTCCTGCTCGGTCTCTGGGCCTGAGACTTGGTGGGGATTAGGAGAGGAGGAGGGTGTGGAAGAGGGTGGCCTTGGAGTTGGAGTCAGTGTTTTTACTGCTGTGACCCAAAGACCTGGTAAGGACCACGTGGGAGAGTAAAGGTTGGTTTGGGGCTCACGGGTTCAGAGGTCTCTGTTCAAATGCGGCCGGCTTCCTTTCTCTGGTCCCAAGATGAGGCAAAACATCATGGCAGAGGGTGTGGCAGAGGAAAACATCTCAGGACATGGCCGTCAGGAAGCAGAGAGAGAGCGCCACTCACCAGGACAAAATATATCCAGAGGCACATCCCAGCCACCGGCCTCCGCCAGCCCTGCCCGGCCTGCCTGCAGCTGGACCCAGGGGGTCCCTTCAGGAAGATCCACGCACTGACCAGGGCAAGGCTCTCCTGACCCCATCATGTCACCTCTCCGCTCTCGTCTCACACACGACCTTCTGAGGACATCTAAACCGTGACACTGGGCAAGCGGTCTCCTCTCCCAGGGCCTCAGTCCCCTGTGTCCTGTGGTTATCTACCTGTTGGACCTTCAGGATAACCAGGGGCCTGGGGACTCTTCAGGGATCCTGTGGAGGACGGGAGCCAGGAATTGGCCCCTACCTGTCCTTTTTTTTTTCCCCCAGGGACATGACTTGGGAAGGGATAGGGATGGGGAGGTCATTGTCTGCCAACGGGGTGGGGCTGGGGCTCCCCCGGGGCGGTCCTTCTCCTCTCTAAGCCCTGGTCTTGGACCTGGGTGGTTTCTGGGGACGGCAGGGAAGCTCACAACCTCTCAGCTGCTGGGAGCAGAGGGGAAGGCTTGGGTTTCGAGATCTCTGGGGTCAGGGAACCTCAACAAATGCAGAGACAACTACCCCCTGAGTCCCATTGTGGCTTCCCTGGGCATTTCCCTGACATGGGGCGGGGGTGGGGAGGAGAGGGAGGACAGAACAGGAGGGGACACTTTGTTCCAGCTTACTGAGCCCCCGTGGCGTGCTGGGCGCTGACCTGAGCCATCTGCATCATGACCCCTTTAAGACCCACAGGTGAAGCCTCATTAATCCCCAGGAGGAAATGAAGACCCCAGCGGGAAGGGGAGGTCCATGGTCAGAGCCACGAGGTGCGGAGGTGGGGCTCACACTGTGGTCCTCTGGGACATCTACCCTCAGATGGTCTCCAAATGCCCTGGAGGGAAAGAGGGAGCTGTCCCCTCCTGTCCTCTCTGTTCCTCTTACCCCAGGCCAGGTGGCATCTTGTTCTAGCTTGGAGCTCAGCAGAGGGCTTCCTGACGAGTGGGGGCTTCCTGGCCTCCCAGGGGTCCACCTGGGCCTCCTGCCTTCCCTCCTGCCCCTCCTGCTGACCGGGCCACCAGGGTTCCTGTGGTGGGGTTTCCTGGTGCACAGGTAGGGCCCGGCCTGGGTGGGACGAGCAGGTGGCTGGTGACTTTCCTCTCTCCTGCCTGGCTTCAAACGTTGGTCCCCTCAGTCCCAGGTGGTGCCCTCAAGCAGGTGGGCTCCCTTCCTAGGCCTGTTTCTCCTCCCTTAAATCCTGGGCCCGTGCCTCAGAGTCATGTGAGGTATGAATCACGCACGTTCTTATTGTCCTTTTATCACCATAGGATTGTGCACATGTGGATCATCTGTCACTTATTACCATTGTTCATAAATTCCTAATCCAGGGGGGCTGGGCTGGGGCTCAGTGGCAGAGCACTTGCCTGGCATGTGTGAGGCCCTGGGTTCGATTCTCAGCTCCTCATATAAATGAATAAAACAAAGGTCCATCAACAATTTAAAAAATTCCTGATCCAGGCCAGGTGGCTGTGATTATCTTATTGTACCTTCACATCCAACTTCAGAAACACTTAAGCTCAAAGGGGGAGACCCTTTTCTTTTTTTTTTGGTACCAGGGATTGAACCCAGGGGCACTTAACCACTGAGCCACATCCGTAGCCATTTTTCGTATTCTATTTAGAGACAGGGTCTTGCTGAGTTGCTAAGGGCCTTGCTAAGTTGCTGAGGCTGGCTTTGAACTCTCTGATCCTCCTGCCTCAGCCTCCCGAGTCGCTGGGGTGATAGGCGTGTGCCACCATGCCCGGCTGGGAGACACTTTTCTAAGGTCACACAGCAAGGAGTAGAGCAGGTGAAGCTGGATCCAAATCCAAATCTTAAGGACTTTGCGCCCTAAAGGCATGTGCTCTGGGCAGCATCCCAGAGATCAGGGTGTCCTCGGGTCAGCCCTGTGAGCCAAGTGCCCGGGAGGAAGCTCTGCCCTCCTCTTCTAGCCTTGTAAGCTCAGGTATTGTGTCCCCTCCCCTGGCAAATGGGGCTACTCCACAATGCCCCCCGCCCACCCTGGCTAAAGTTCCTGCTTTAAGGGTAATCCTTAACCCCAGAGCCAGAGAAAACTGGATTTTAATTCTAACTTCATCTGACTGCTGTGTAACCTCAGGAAAATTGCCATACTTCTCTGAGCCTCAGTTTCTTTGCTGGAAAAATGGGATCCATGTGGCCGCTGAGAGGTTCAGGAATCCACGTCACGTGCTGGCATCGTGCCTGACACACAGTGAATGCCCAGTAGCTATTTGCAATGATGAAGATGTGTACATGCGGGTGTGGCAGAAGAGGCCAGCACTTGCATGTGGGTGCGTGTGCCCACATGTGGACGTGGTGCCCGTGACAAAGGCTGGCTTGTGAGTCTGAGCCTTTACGATTTGTACGGGGGGGGGGGGGGGGACAGTGGGGCTGGTGCATGAGGCTCCGCGTGAAAGAGACAGTGAGAGGTGGACTCGGCCACAGAAGGCCTTGGACTGGCCACTGTCACGTCCCAGATAGTCCAGTGGTCCATGCAGGTTACTGGTCATGGCCGGCTCTGCCCCGTCTCCCAGGCCTGCCTGGGCGATGGCCGTCCCCTGCCTGGAGTGCGGGGTGAGGCCTCCCTCCCTGAGCTCCCCACGAAGAGCCCTGCCCAGGGCAGGGCGGCAGTGGGGTCCAGCCCCCACCAGCAGGCCCTCTCCAAGGAGCACCAGCAGCACTGGCCACGTGCACGGTCACTCTCCCGTTTTTACCCACAGACTCCTGCCCAGAAAACGAGGGAAGCCCGGGAAGGAGAGATGCCCGGCAGCAGCCGGAAGCACCGGCGCCTCCTTGGCCAGGACCCAGGGTCCGTGTGGCCTGGGCTGTGCTGAGGGGCTGGGTCAGCGAGCAGGCCAGGGCTGGGCCCCGAGGCGGAGCACAGGTCCAGTCCAGACCCAGGCAGAGGGGGCCGGGGGACAGTGGCCGCGTCTCTCCAGGATCAGTGTTTGTGCAAGAGGAAGCCGAGCTGAGGTCCCAGCATCAGCTCTGGGGAGTCGGTCCTGGCACGGAGCCGAGCATCCATCGGCCCTGACGGTCCCTCCCTGGCCTGATGGCCCCCAGGGGTGCTCCCCCACAGAGGACAGTCGGTGAGGGCACTCAGCACGCCAAGGCCTCTCCTCTGGGCACAGCTGGAGAAGCGGTAGGACGGGGTGGGAGCCCTGGGCTGGGGTGCGGTGGCTGAGCTCCGTGGGGACGAGCACCTGAGACCAGAGCTCCCCTCGGGAGAAGGGGTGGGGCCTGGGGGACGGAGCGGCCACAGCCTCCCTCCCGTTTGGGTGTGTCAGAGGGCCTCAGGATGGACCCTCGCAGCACAGGGACAGGGCCTGGGGCCCCTGGAGAGCAGGGTTCTGTCCTGGGGAGAGCCAGGGTCCTGAGACCCCTTGGCAGCTTTGGGCACCTGCCCCAGGGAGGGGGATGAGGTGCAGCGAGGGTCTGGGCCGACCTGGAGACCGCTGGGAGAGGTCAGCTCCGGGCGGCCTGAACCTGAGCGCCAGGCTGGGTGACAGACACCTGCCTAGGAAAGTCCTTGGCTAAGGTAGATGTCACCAGGCCACGGACTCCTTTGACTTCCAAGATTGGCACTGCCCTCTCCCTGGGCCTCAGTTTCCACATCTGTGAAGAACAGATGGGACACAGGTGACGGCCAGGAACCCACTTCCCTCTGTCTGCCAACTGCCCCGAGGCCGCCTCACCAGACTGCCCCCCAGACAAGGCTCAGACAGTGGGCGAGCTGCCGCGGCACCTGAGGCCCAGCGTGGGCAAGGACAGGGCGTCCTACCTTTTGAAGTTCACGACGCTCTTGGGGATCCCCGTGGGCGTGTTGAAGGCCGGCAGCAGCTTCTCCCCGAGCTGGATGGCCTTGCTGCGGAACACCTGGGCGACAGGACCACGGGCATCACGTCAGGAGGGCGGGCGGTCACTCCAGGAGGCCACTGCTGCAGGGTGCGCCTTCCCCGGGCTGCGGGCCCAGATGGGGAGGTGACGCTCCTGGACTCTGCAGGCAGCCAGCCCAGGTGGCAGCCTGGACCCGCAAAGGACAGGCCCCGTGGGGGTATGGGGTGAGAGGAAAGTTAACCATTGGACAGCGTTCGCCACAGGGTCCGGGCTGGGAGGAAGGACTGTCCCTCTGATTAGAGGTAGTGGGAAGATGGAAGGAAAGCAGTCGGCTGCTCCCTGTCCACACAAAGACCCGGCAGGTGGGGCGGTCACCAATGGTCAGTGCCGCCCACTCTGTGGACACAGTGTCACAGCGGGGGATGGCAGTGTGACCTGCATCTGCTCACTGTTTCCATTAGACACAGGGATGGAGGGCGCGGGACCCCTGTCCCCACCACCCACATGCAGGAAGCTCCTAGGCTTTAGGTCCTGCCGGAGGCGCCAAACCGTCCCTCTGAAAGTCCAGGGTGACTCAAAAGGCCCGTGACCTTCTGCCGCGGCAGTTTCTCTCCCAGCAATTTATTCTACAGGAATAAATAATCAAGAGCGTTGCAAAGATTTAACTTTACGACTATTTACTCTGGCACTGTTTAGAATAGCTCGGGGACAGGAACACCCAGGTCTGGGCAGGTGGTTGAATTATGGCTTTCATGTCATGGAGCGCCACGCAGCCACCGAGACGATGCTGTCCGAGGACACATGGCAAAGAAAGGGTTTTTAACATGCTTAGAGGAAAATAGTGTATTTCAACTTCAAAAAATCATTCATATGTGGATGTATGAAAAAAAGGAAGAAAATACACCAAAATATAAATAACATTCTTCTCAGAGGGGTAAACTTATGGACAAGCTTTAGATTCTTCTTTTGGTTTATCTATTTTCTGTGAAATTAAAAAAATATTGATTTTCTTTGAGACGGGGAGTCTCACGATTGCCCAGACTGGCCTCAAGCCATCCTCCTGCCTCAGCCTCCAGAGCAGCTGGGACTACAGGTGTGCACCATACTATGCATGGCTTGTGCAATCTTTACTAAAAAAAGAAGCCTCCATATCTGCAGTTGTGTGTTCATGGAATCCACAAACTGCAGGTGAAAAATATTAAAAACATATGCATCTGTATGGAACACGTACAGACTTTTGTCCCTCGTCATCATTCCCTACATGTCACAGTGGACACAGCATTTACATTGTATTAAGTGTTACAAGGAATGAGGGTGGTCGTGGGTTCACTCATACACCAGGCCATTTTTCTATCAGGGCTTGAGCATCCATGGAATTAGGCACCTGTGGGGGTTCAGGCCCAATGTCCTCAGACACGGAGGGAAGACAGTTTTTAATGTCACTTATTTTGGACAGATGAGACTCAAGACCCTAAGCAATAGCTCCTGGTGTCTTGTCACCTTGGAGCTGGGACAGCCCAGTTTGCTGACCTCCTATGGTTTTAAAACAACCCTTGTCAAGTCCTCCCTGTGACCAAAAACTCACAGGCCACGCTGGTGCACGCCTGCAATCCCAGTGGCTCAGGAGGCTGAGGCAGGAGGATCATGAGTTCAAGGCCAGCCTCAGCAACTTGTCGAGGCCCTAAGTGACTTAAAATAAAAAGTAAAAAGGTCCGGGGATGTGGCTCGGTGGTTGAGCACCTCTGGGTGCACTGGGAAGTGGGGAGGGATCTCCCAACGCTCTGGGTACGGGGTTTGAGGCCTCCGAGGGTGGGGCAGTCCTCGCTCTGAGGAGGAGGGAAGGGCTGCGTGGGGCTGGCAGCCACGGACCAGAGAAGATAATACTGTCCAGCACCCGACGGTGGGGCCCCCAAGTGGGCCCTGGGACCAGCCACATCCGAGTGCAGGGGCTCGTGGCTCCACAGAACCGCGGGGCCTGCCCTCGGGGGCCTCTAGTCTTGGCCCGGCTGAAGCCACGGTGCAGTGCTCTGAAGGCCCTGGGTCTCCGGGAGGCTCCTCATCTCTTGTTTGACCCCAGGGGCTGCAGCAGTGAGCAAAGGAGCCCCCAGAGCTCCAGCAGATGTGAGGACACGGCAGCTGTCGGACCGTCTTGGTCCCGAGGACGCCAAGCTCGCCAGTGAACCACGTCCCCTCCTTTGAGAGGCCCCAGAAGCCTCGCTGCTGGCAGGGCGGGGGGCTGCGTGAGTGAGGACAGGAGTGAGCCCCTGGGGACAGAAGGCGGGTCCCCCACCCCGGCCATCTTGGAAGGAGTGAGACGCACTGGTGTCCTGTCCACACACCGTCAGTCCTTGCCGTGACTTGGGAAGGTGCTGACCCACTTTGAGGATGGGACAACTGAGTCTCAGAACCGATGTTCCCAAAGCTGCAGAGCTAAGTGGCTCGCTCCAGGACAGGGGTGGGAGAGGCCAGCATGGGTACACCCTGTCCAGTGGGAAGGGCACCGGGGGGGCCCTGAGGGCTCTTTCCAGTGGCCACTCAGCAGCTGTGTGACCCTGTCCTGTCTCTGAGCCTTGGTTTCCCCGTCTGCCCCCACGGTGGGGGCCGGCACCCTGGCTGCCTCCCAAGGCTTTCTGGCAATCAGCTGGGGCTGTCCGGGACTGAGCGTGCCCCCATCGCTGGGCACTGCCTGGTCACGCTGCCTTCTCAGAACGCCTGGTCTCGGCAAGACTGGTCAGGGCCACACAGGGGTCTCCAGCGGCTTCCTCTGAAGGCAGCCTCAGCCTAGGAGGAGTCTTGGGGGCCTCAACACCGATTCCACAAATACTCATGGGAAACATTAAAGAACGGAGAGACCACGTCAGGCTGAGAGAGGACGGAGGGAGGCCCAGGCAGGTGTGGCTGAGCCCTGGTGACAACTAGTGACAGGAGAACCACGGGGTCAGGAGTCAGGCCCAGCACCCCCTTCAGTGGCTCAGGGACGTGAGTCTTAGTTTCCACATCTGCAAGTCACTGATAACCCTTATCAGCCACCTATGCCACGAGGCCACCAGCCTGACCCACGGACCCCCAAACCAGCCCCATGAGCCCCAAGCAGCTGCCATCCCACCCTCCCTTGCATCCCCTCTCCCCACCACAGCCAGCCAGGGAGACGGCAAAGACTTGTGAAGCATGAGTGCCTGTTTCCTGCTCCTTCTGTCATTTTCCTGTCCTGAGGTTTTCAAATAAAATTCAGTCTTCGGGTGGCTCAAAGCCGAGGGCTCTGTCTACAATTTTTTTTTGACAAATTGGTACAAGCAGTAATCTCTGCTGAGGGGATTAGGCTTGACGGAGAGAGGCCCGGAGCAACTGGGGAGATAAAGCTCTGTCGCCTCTAAACTCCCGACTGTGGCCCTGCCCTGCAGACAGCAGCGTGGGGGGGGGGGTCTTGCTGTGGCTGCCCGGCCCACCTCCGGCTCCCCCGGCCCACGTCCCTGGGTGCAGGGGAGGGGGCTGAGCACCCGGCCCCAGCGCAGGGACCTGCTGGGCCACAGGGAACACCCACCCAGTGACCCGAGTTCTGGGGACAGTGCCCACCTCACCGCCTGACACCAGGGCTGTGCAGGAGCTCAGGAGGAGGAGGAGGAAGCCCCCTTTCTCCACAGGATCCAGGAGAATCAGGCTCTGGCGCTGTTGGCCGGGACAAGCCCTCCCCCAGCCCAGAGAGGGGATCACTTTGTCCCACTTTGGGCTGGTGATAAGGGAAGGGACTTGTGCAGGCCACAGCGGGGAGCGTGGGGTGGGAGGAGGTCCTGGTCTCCCTGTGGGGCTCTGCCTTCAGGTGGGGGCGTCTGGCTGGCACCTGGCCCAGAAGGGAAGGGCAAGGGTGGCCGTGGAGTGTGACCGAGCCAGGGTCCCCGTGGTGGAAACGTGACAACCCTGCTCTCGGCTTTCTGGGTCCTGAGAACCAGCCTCACGCAGACACCAGCAGCTGCCTGCGAGGGGAGCCGCGAGGACTCGGAGCATCCGCTACCGACTGGGGGCCCGTGGGGCCCTGGGTGGCAGAGAGCGGGAGGAGGCTTCAGGGGAACCCGTCCTCTCGGGGCTCACGGTGGCCCCTGGGCAGATCTCTGCCCCCTTGAAACCGTTTTTCCCGTTGGTGAAAGGAAGGGCTAGGACAGGGTGCTCGCTAGAGCCCTGTCCAGCGGGGACGGTCCCGGGGACTGGGAGGCCCACTCACCTCTTCCCCTGTCAGGTAGAAGGCCGAGAGCAGCCCTCCGATGTAGCGGATGTTCACCTCGAACAAGGACGCTTCCCCGGTCTGCAGGACACAAAGCAGGACATGGTGAGCAGGGATCCCGAGGCCTCACT